GTGGGCGCTCCCCTCCCTTTCTCTCCCCCCCAAAAAAAATCAGAGCAGGAAAAAGGATTAGATCGGCTGAGCGCGAACTGACTCCCTCTCGATTCTGACATTTCAGCCTATTAGCATTTCTCCACGGGGCCTTCTGAAACCTATTAAAGTGTAATATTAAAAACCTCTTGGCTGGGGGCCTCTCTCGCCTTCCATCCGCCGCGCCCCCTCCAGGGAGGGCGAGACCGGGAAAAAAAAATCTGTTGAGCTCAGAGGAAGCAGCAGCCAAGCCCAAAAAGTGCTTGGCTGGCTGCAGTGGCCAGAGGGGGAGGGGAGCCCCAAACCCCCAGACTTTGTACTTTTATTTTGCGCTTTCAGCAAAATCCTTTCTGGGTTGAGTCGCCGGGAGCTGCCCGCAGCAACCTACTTGGCTGTGAGCGCGAAGAGTGCGGACGCGGTCGGAAGGGCAGTCCTGGGGGCCGGCACACGCTCTCCGCAGCCCGGCAAGGACCCGTGCCCAGCTAGGCATTACGTACCCTCAAAAGGAAGCTTGGAGGGACAGAAATCCTTGCCGATCCTGCCTCGGAGAGCAACCGCGGTGATTAGATTTTAATTAAAACAAGCTCTTTCGCCCCGAGCTGCGGACTCAGCGTTTTTGCATCGCTCGTTCTATTTTTTTTAATCCATTTTTAAGGCAACTTTTCTGGAGGGGGGGGAATGAGCTAGTTAGCGCCCATTCGTTCTATTTTCTTTTCTCCACTTTTAGAAAAAGACGGGGGGTAAGCTTCGAGAGCGAACTTGGGGTGTCCAATTTAATTCCAGTATAAATTTGAGGAAAAAAGTTCAGCCTCTTGAGGGCAGTTTCAAGTTGCCCTTCCTGGAGCCTCCTGTGCTGGTTTCTAGGCTGCCCTCTTTAGGAAGCTGGAGCTCCGCGTGGGGGAGGGAGGGGTGCGAAGGAAAGAAAGGAACGAAAATAGCCGGAGCCGAGGGGAAGGAGCGGCGGTGCAGGGCGCGCAGGTCTCAGTGGCGGCCGGGGCGGCGGGAGGCTCCCGGTGCAGCTCCGGGACGGCCAGGAGCAAAGACGGAGAGGAGAGGGGGGTTAGAGAAAGGAGGTATTGTGTCTCTGTGCCTTAGGGGAGGAGGGGGTGACTGCAGAAGAGAAATAAATGCAATTGAGCTGCAAGGGGCTGCTGCAGACCAAGGCAAGGGAAGGGGCCGTGCATCAGGGCACAGCCCGGGTGGGCGCCGAGCGTTCTTAAGTCTTATGCAGAGGCTTTTGTGGGTTCCTAGTAAACCCTCCCACGCCCAAGCCCCCAACGCTCAACATTCAGACCCCAGACCCTGCTCCCCCCACTCCATTATCCCCGCGGGGGATCTGGAATGTTTTCTTTAATACATCTCAAGAAAAAAATAGAGGGAGAGAGCTAGCGAGTTGGGGTGGGGAATACAAAAGGCTTGCGGGGTGGAAAAAAACAAAAGCCTATTTTTATAAATGTTTAATGTTTTCACCCCTGGATGCTCCAAGACGCCGTAATTGTGACGGCGGGGTATCTGTGCCATAAATCATTTAGTTGCTAATAAAAATTCTGCCTGTTTGCCCTGGATTTGCCAATGGCGTTTGCATTTTCCAAGTGTGCGCCTGGTCGGCGTGGCGAACCAAGCCTGCATTTCATTAGGGCCGAGGTTCGGGGCAGGCGAGGTCCCCTCCCCCACCCATATCCCGGGCCTTTGTGGGCCGCAGCCCCCTTGGGCTGCCCTTCCTGCACACACTCGAATCCACGAGAGTCGCTGCGGGGCCCTCCCGCCAGAGCTCCGCCAGGGTGCAGGGTCTGGGAACACGGAGGTGGCGGCGGCGGCGGCTCCTGGTTCCCAGCTGCGGAGCGGGACTCGCAGGACAGACCTTGCCTGCACCGGTTCTCCGAGCTGCAGCGTGTGTAGGGGCGCGAGGGGGCCACGCCGAGGAGCCGCCCGACCCCAGCGCGCCCTGATCTTTGCTCCCTCCCGGCCCGCGCCCGGTGCCCCGCACTCGCTAGTAAACAGCGGCCGGGAGCCATCTTGGGGCGGGGGACGGATCCCAAGCCAAGTGGTGGGCGCAGCCCAAGCTCCTTCTAAGACCCCCACCATTCATCGGGGGCCTTTGGGGCACCCCTGGCCGGGCTTCGAGGTCTGGGGAAGCACCCTCTCCGCTCTGGAAGCCACACAAATGTAAAAACCAGGCCTGGGCGCCCCGCTTAGTGCGGGTTAACAGCGTGCAGCCCGCAGTCCTACCGGCTCCGGCCGCCATCTTCTGGCCCCCTCCCTCTACATACTTGTGTTTACTCGGCAGGATCCGTGGCCAAAAAGAGCGTGTTGACGCAGTGTGTATGTGTGTGTATTTTGTACTGGCTGGACGGAAAATCGGCGGAAGGGGGGAACTTCATCGCAACCCCCAACCTCAGTTCCCGGAGAACCTGCCCAACCAGAGCTGTAGTCCGCGGCCATCCTGGGCGTCCGGAGCCGAGATCTTTAGAGTGTTCCCAGGCCTCCAGCTCCTCCAGTGGACGCGGCCCGACTGACAAAATTCTTCCCCTTTGTTTTAAAACCAAGGACAGGCCAACCTTGGGCTCAGCTCTCCCCGGCTGCATCTTTGTTGCGCGGGCTCAGCTCCCGCGCCTCGGCCAGTCCTGCCCTATTCAGGAGTAAACCCCGCGCTTCCCAGAACCCTGGTGTTGCTGGCGACTTGGACACGTTCTCCCCTACTCCTTCCCCAGAAAAGAAACCGGCATCCTTTCCTACGCGAGGACGCCCGAGCTACCTCCACCGGTCGCCCAGAGCCGCTTTTCCTGGTGGGGACCGAAGTCCCCGCACTCCAGCAGCCTGTCCCCAGGTATTGGCCGGCCTCTGCATCCCGCTCGGGAAACCATGGCCCGGTCTTTTAAGCTCCAGTTTCCAGTTCCAGGTCCTGCAACCAGGGACCTTCTGGCCTGGGTGCCGCTAAAACCCGGAGAGGCCCCGCCCGGGAAAACCAAGCTAGCCATCCCCTTGCTGCGGCTGGCCTAGTCAGGACTTAGTGCCCAGCTGAGGTTCGGCCAGCCCAGCCAAGATCCGTCCAGACCCGCCAGGAAGACCAAGGACGCGGCGCCAGTGCCCCAAAAGCCGCAGGGACCAGGGCGCACAGCGGGCAGAGCCTGAACCCAAGCTCCAGGACCGGCCCCAGCAGATTCCCGCGGCCCTCGGCTCCGCCTCCGGCCCTGGCCTCTTCCCTCGGCCGGCTCTGGTCTTCCACTCCACTGTTTGGCTTTAAGGGGACGGAGACACTCCATGTGCAGAGGGCTGGCTGCAGCCATAAATCTCGGGGCAGGGTCCTCCTTCCCCATTCTCTCTCGCGTGGGTACTCCCAGTCTACCCCACGTCCTGGACAGCACCCAATGCCTTGCCCTATGCTCTCCTTGTCAGGGCCTGGGGGCCCAAGACCGCAGGGAGTCAAGCCAGGCCCTTCCTAGTTCGCCAGAGAGAGGAGGCCTTGCCCATTCCACTTGTTGCCACCATCTTCCATCCCCGTGGCCACTGGACCCAGACACGTCCTGTGCCTCAGGATAAGTGGGGTAGGGGTGCCCAGGCAGGGCACTTAGGGAGACTAGGTGCGGCTGGAATGGGCCCGTGTCCACCCGCTTACACCCCAACTCCGGCTCCACCATTGAGGGCACCAGGGTCAGGATCAGAGTGGCTTCATAGGACTCAGACTGCCACCCCTCTCCGCAGACCCAGCTTTAATCTTGCTCTATGGTTCTGCCCTTGGAGCCCTCTGTGGGCGCACCATGCAGAGAGGAGAACTTTTTTTGAGCGTCCGAGGACCAAGCAGTGTTGTGGCGGGGGCTCCTCTGGCTCCCCACCCCATACCAGCCCATCTTCTTGCTGGGGATACCCCGGGCTTTTCGCTGTCTGAGCCCATTTGGCGCCCTCCTCGGCCGCCCGCTTTGGCACAAGGAGGCAGACCGTCAGGAAAGCAGGAATTGGTTGGTACTGGCAGCAGTCTTTCTACCCGAAGCATGAGGCGCAGTGGGTAGGAGGGGGAGCAGCCCCAGAGAGGGTGTATTTGCAACAATAATGCTTAATGTCACCAGCATTGTTTGCGTTTTTGCCAGAGAGGCGGGGAACAAGCCTTGGTGCTGGTGACCCGCATCAGCCAAGCAGGCGGTGCGCGCGATCGGAGACAACCCCCTCGGAACAACCTCATTTTGCTCGGGACTTCGGGTGGGGACAACCATGGAAGGGGAGGCATTCACCCTTCCTGGGTGCCTCCCGAGAGCGTCACTGTGCCAGTAACACAACTGCAAACTGCCGTGGCAGACGCCGGAGGTGGAGGGTTTGGAAACCTCGCTTGGAAATACTCTCACCCAGTGAGCTTCGGCTCCTTCCTAGAATTTCTAGAAGCATATTTGAAAGGACCGAGGCCTTCTAGCCCGGCCTAGGAGAATCGGAGCGCTCGCTCTGGCGGCGGCGGCCGCAGCCCAGCCCAGGAGCGGTGAGGTGGCTGAGCCGCATTCCGGCCGTGCCCTCCCCCCTGGGCCCCAGCCCCGCGGCGCCCCAGGAAGCGCCTCCGAAAACAAAGCGCTGCGGTTTCAGCCCAAGGTTAAAGTCCACCGCGAGCATCCCCCCGCCCCGCCCCCATCCAAGAGCGATAGTGTTTCTCCAAATAAACCGCCAATAAATCAGCACTCGGGGCCGCCTGCTGAGGAGCTTTGCTGACCTTGGGGAATGGATTTCCTGCTCGACCCTTCAGAGGACAGGCGTGGGGAGGGGGACACAGTGCCAGCCGTGCCCTCCTCCAGAGGGAAGCAAAGAGGGCTTGGGCCAAGGCCATTCGTGGGCGTTTGTTGCAGTCCTTGTGCGCCCAGAGGGCCTGGGGCTGCCGTGATTATCTGGGGGACTGGCAGCGCCCAGCGGTGGGGGGTGTTACTGTGGGAGTCGGTTGCTCTGAGGGAAGCTGACCGCGTGTTCATGGAGCGCCTCGGGTGCCTGCACTATTCTAGGCCCCGGAGAAGAGGCACGAGGGACAAACAAGGCCTCTTTGGGGGCCTTCTTTGTCTGGGTGTGCCTGGGTGTGTTCTGCCAGCGAGTTTGTGCGGGTGTGACTAATGGGATTTATGTATGTCAGTGCCAGGGTGACTAATGGAAGGCTTGGCAGCACGTGGGTTTGGGGAGGGGTGTGCCTGCTGAGGGAGGGACGCTGCACCTAGGTGGGGAGTCAGTGCCCCAGGAGAGGGCCACCCCATCTGCTGGGGCCCCCCTCTCCTGCTGCTGTGAGTTCCCAGCTTTGTTTGGGCCTCTGAACCCCTTCCTGGCAGGCCTGTGCATGCTGAGAGTTCTGGAGCAAATTCCACTGGCAGCCGGGCCCCCAGAGGCGCCCCAGTCCCTGCCTGCTGCTGCCCTGACCTGAGTGGCCCCTGCAAATCCAGCCAGTGCCACCCCCTCCCACCGCAGAAACTTCCCAACTTCCTGTCTTTCAGTCTGAAAATTCCTTTTGATGCAAACCCCTGCTTCGTGCAGGCTTTGACAGCCCTCTGGCTTGGGAACCATGCCGCATCAGGCCCATTTAACAGACGAGAAACCAGAGGCACAGAGAAGAGAAGCAACGTACTCCCACAGCTAAGAAGTGGCAGCAGGCACCCTCAGCTAAGCCAGGCAGGGCACTGCGGATACAGATGTAAATGTGGAGCCCCAGTGCCCCAGGGAGCTGCCAGCCTGACCAAGACTAGTTCAGGAAAAAGGTAAGCACCCGAAGGCTCTCACCACCCTGCCCCCCACAGCCGCCCTTCCCCGTCAGTCCTCCCTACCTTCTCCTGGGACCCTTCTCCAGCCTGTAGGGGAGGCAGCAGAGGTCAGAGGTTAACAGGAGTCCCTTTGGCCTGGGCCTGGTGGGGGCAGGGTGAGGTCAAGCTGGCAGGGAGCCCAGCCCGCCTTCCCAGCTGGAAGGGGGCTGCGGTCAGGGCTTAGGAGGGCCAGCGCTCCCGCTCAGGACCAAGAATCTTACTTACATCTCCTCTGGGTCTGCTGTTGTCTGACACACACGCCCCAGTCTCTGGGCATTCCTCTAGGTGTTATTTCTGCTCCTTGCACACTCATTCTGTCCCACACATCTGTGCCCCTGTTATAGACACACTCGTCAAAAGAGGGGGTGACTTCCTAAGGTCACCCGGCCTAGGTGGCACAAGCAAGCCAGACGTTTCTGCCCAGCTCCCCGCCTTCCCCACTCCCAGCTGCTGCTCTGCGGCCCTTGGTGGCATCTCCCGAGGGAGGGGATAGCTGGCTCTAACCCTTCTTCCCAGGTCTCCTGGGATCCTCCCTCCCCTACAGTCTCCCAGAATGTCTCTCTCTCTGTCTCTCTGTCTCTCTCACATCTCACTCATACCCACACACAACACACTTACACACTCACACAGGAGCCTCCCACTTGCTTCACCTCCCTCCCACCCTTTTTCTTTTTTTAATCCTTCTTTGGCATTTTCTTTCAAGCAGAAAATAAAAACATTTCCCATGGCTACAGCTTTGAAAGTTTCCCTCTCCTTTCTCGCCCCCACCCCCATGTCAGTCCCTTTCCAGAGTCAGCATAAAGTCAAACACG